GGCGATGCATCGCCGATTCCAAGTCGATGTGTCCCCCCCTATGCCAGTCCCCCCCTATCGTTGCCCCTCAAGGTAGCCAGCTTCACGAGCGCCTGGTCGGTCGCGACACCTATCCCTGGAGTGGAAGGCGTCGGGGTGTGTGCCACATCACGTAGCCGTTGGCCATGAGGGCCTCGTCAAAGTAGCCCCGGACGCCCTTCATGACGTCCTCGGACTGTCCTTTGACCACGGCGCAGGTCGCTTCGCAGAACACCACCTGTTGCCCACCAACGCGGGGCCGATTACGATCCCGCGGTCGAGGACGAGGAGACCCCGCGACACCGCCAGCCAACGCACTTGTCCATGGCACGGTGAGGGGTCATCGGTGCTACGGTGAATGCCCCTGTGGGTGCTATAGCCAGCGCCGGCGGCGTCGCTGCAGGCGAAGTTGTCGTCAATGCCGCAGCAGGCGCCGCCGCTGCAAATGAGGTCGGCCCATGCATGCCGCCGCCAAGGCTGCTGCAGGTGTCATTTTCGGTGCCGCTCCCGATGCCACCGTTGGTGATGCAATGGGCGCCTCGGTGTCGCTGCTGCAAACGACGCCGTCGTTGGTGCCACAATCGACGTCGCCGTTGGAGCCGCAGTCGATGGCGCCGTCGGCGCAGCAGCCGACGACGTCTTCGGTGCTCACGGTATTTGCACCAGGCGCCGTCGGCGGCGCGCGCAGTCGAATTCATAGCCCTCACGGCTCTGGGCGCCCTTCTTGACGCTCTCGGGAGTGCCTCCTGGCGATGGCGCAGGCCGCAGTTGTGGTAGGTACGTAGATTGAGAGCGCGCTGCTCGCCACGGCTGGAGTCACCACGACGTCGACGGAGCACGCGGGCCCGCCAGCGGCGGGACGCACCGAGTGCTAGACGCGCGGAAGGTCAATTGCCCGCAGAGCTCGTGGCTGAGGAACGGCGGCGGCGGAGCAGCTGCAAGCCTCTGCGCTCTTCGCGCCGATCCTCCCGACGACCTCTGCTGCCGACGAAGGCAGGCGACCCACGTCAGCACGCCCACCTCTGCAGCGACCCAGACCTGCCGATCCCAGCGCGACACCTGCCAGCCGCAGGGGGCCCGAGGTCACTGGTGCTGCGGCGGGTACCGCAGCCGAGGCCGCCGCAATGAGAGGCTGCGCGAGGCGCCATCGTCAGAGCCGGCGGCAGCGCTACAGTCGGCGTCGTCGCCAGGGCACGCTCTTCAAGGCTGCCCCGAGCTCGGAACGCGGGGCGTGCACGCACACCAGCACCGCCAGGCATCGCGGTCGACAGCTTCAGGACCTCGCTTGCAGGCTATCCCAGCCTGTGGGCTCTTGGCCCACACGGCACGCTGCCAAGCCCGAGGCTCGCGGCCTTGGCGTCCACCATGCTGGAGACGAGGCCTGTCGCGCAGTCAGCGGCCACGCGTGGCTCAAAGCTGCGGTGTTGGAAGTCTCTCTTGGCAGAAACTCCTCTCGGCATGTGGCTGTCGATGCCTATATGAGGCACTCGAGACATGGCCTCGTCTTCGAGGATCGAAGGAGTGGCCGTGTCTTCCTCAGCGGAAGGCGCCGGGAGTAAAACGAGGCCGCCTCCGATGGCGCAAGGCTGGCAGAAGTAAAAGTAGACCTCTCAAGAGATGTTAAGGTTGTTGGTGCAGGGTCCTTTGAACCCGCCATATGCGTGTAGAAAAAGGGCACACACACACACGTGCATGCACAGACACATCTCAAAAGCGCTCTGATCAAGACGGCGGAACGCGCGCACACCGCGCAGGAAGCGGAGGCGGCAGTGGCCGCTGCGCTGGCGGCGGAGGACCAGGTGCCAGATCAATTGCGCTCCGCCGCGCTTCTCCTCCTCCCTCACTATCCTCCTCACTATCTCCTCCTCCTCCTCATCCTCCTTCGTCACTCGTAGTTAATCCTCCTCCTCCTCCTCCTCCTCCTCCTCCTCCTCCTCCTCCTCCTCCTCCTCCTCCTCCAGGTCGGCTCAGACCTGCGGGCCAGAGGGGGCCCGTTTTGCCTGAGCCCCCAGCCGTCTGCCCCAGGGGCGGAGGGCGTCACCACGGAGCGCGAAGGGCGCCGCCATAGGCCGCCCTCGCCCGCCTGGCACAGGCGGCTGCGGAGGCGGCGCGCCAGCGCGCGCAGCCTCCTGGCGCTCGAGCGCGCGAGGCGCGTACTACGGCACCACCACGGAGACGGTCATCTCGTGGCCATGGGTGCTGGCGACAGTGGCAAGGGCGGCAGGAGCTCAAGGCCATCGTCCCGCGCGCCATCGAGACCTCGGTCGGAGGGAGGCGAGTTCTGGCGTTGCTCGCAGGCCGACTGTCGTTGTGCCAAGAACCAGGCCCATTGGCGTTGGTGCAAGCATTGCGGCAAGGAGCGCAACGGGGGCGAGTCCAAGCCACCGTGGGCGCGTGATACGCCTCGTGGGGGTGCTGGCAGGACTGGTGGTGCTGCTGGATCGCACGTCCCAGACCTCGGAGTGGATGCCATGCAGGCCCTCGTGGTGTTCGCTGAGCAGAAGGGGGACAAGCAGATGGCCGAGAAGTACCGAGAAGCCATCCGCATCAAGTCTCAGCCTGAGGCGCCCACGGCCCTTTCCAGGGACGAGTTGCGTTCGATGGTCACCATGGCGGAGAGATCAGGTGACAAAGCGACGGCGGCGAAGTACAAGCAGCTTACCTTGTTGGATGCTTGTTTTTTGCTTTTTCTTTTGCGGTTGTTTGTTTTAGTTGCTTGTTGTTGTTTTTATTGTCTTGCTTTGTGTGCTTGCTTTGCTTTGCTGCCTGTTTTTCCTTGTTTTGTTTGTTTGTTGTTTGCGTGGTTTTTTCTGTTTTGGGCCTGCTGCTTTGCTTACCGTGTTGCATATTTTGGGGTGCTTGGTGCTGTTTTAGTGTGTGTGTTGTTCTCCTTTTTTTGTGTTTATTGCTGTCTTTTGTTGTTTCATTGTGTGTTTGCTTTCTTTTGTGCTGCTTGCTGCCCTTGGTGTCTTCTGGTGTTTCTTTGATGTTGCTTGCGTTCGTTTGGTGTGTTGATTGATTTGCTGGAGCAGGCCGCAAGGGCTTTTATTTTCGGAGGGACAAAAAAAGCCCGGCGCACTCCAGTCCAAGCAAGGCGCACGCTCGGCTGCGCAAGACGAAGGGGAAGCTCGAGGCTGAGAACGCGGTGCTGGCAAACCTGCTGGAGCAGGTGGAGACGCAGAAGGCTCTGGTCTCCGAGCTGGTGTCGGAGCTGGACTCGGCCGAGAACGAGTACAGGGTCGCTGTGGCAGAAGTGGCTGCGGGGGTCAGCGGACAGGCCCCTGCGAAAGTGGAACCAATCAAGCTCTCGCTGGCAAAACTCATGGACGGGGAGCTGGACGACATCGACCTGGAGGACGACGGGCTCTTCGGCTACACAGAGTTCGAGGAGCTCGGCCCCGCGGCCTTGGAGGAGGCAAAGTCCAGGAAGAAGCAGATGTTGGAATCGTTCAAGCAGATGGCGGGCTCGTTCTTCGGAGAGGTGCGCCAGAAGGGTCAGGCGCTGCAGGCCGAGCACAAGGTCATGCAGGAGCGGCTCGCGGCCAAGAAGCGGCGCACTGCAGAGGGAGACGCGGGAGACAGCGACGGGGACGGCATCGCGGGGGCGCAGGCTCCTGTGGCACCTCCTGAACTGCCTGAAGTCGCTGAGCCTGCAGGGCCTGCACGCGCTGAGGGTGACTCGGAGAAGCTCAAGGCCACCGCTCGGGCAGCCGTGGCAGCGGCGACCGAGGTGGCGAGTGGATGCAACGGCAAGGCAGAGGCTACCAAGCATTGTGGGTAGCGATACGAGAAGTATACTGAGACACGGCGGCAGTTCGTCCAGAACTACCAGGGGATGTCGTGTGCGTTTCACCTACTGCGATATTGCGAAGACTGGCCTCCAGTCTGGGTCTACGACGCGTTCGGCTTCTGTGGCGGAGGCCAGACGTGGTTCCTCTTTTTGCTCGGCATCGACGCCGCGCACTTCTCGGGCCCCCCCTCCGCCCCTGGCAGCCTTACCTGTGGCCAGAGGTCCCCCCAAGGGGGTTAATGGGGGGGGAGCGGCCCGCGCCGAGGGCGCGCCTGCGGGGGGTTCGCCAATGGGGGGTGCCACGTTCCCCTGCTCCCAGTCGGTCGGGGACGTTAAAGCTCTTGGCGTAAGCCATGCGCCTTCTGGGCAGGGCGAGGGCGCTACCCCAGCGGCGACACCCGCAGGTTGTATTGGGTCGACATCGGTGCCGACGGGTGCGCGGGTTCATCAGGCAGACGACTTTCAAGGCTCGAGGCGGGGAGCGAAGAGAGGTCGTTCGGTTACTCGGTCGAGTGCTGCGCCTGGGTGCTCGTTCACTTCGAGTGCGACTACGACGTGTGGGACATCGGGGTCGTCTTCGGCGGCTTCGGTAGCGCCTCCGTCGATGGCCTGCGGTTCGTCTATTGAGGAGCCTGCTGGAGGCAGGCTCCCCCCTCCGCTTCTGTGTGAGTTCAGTGCTGCCTGTGCTGCCAGTCACCCAGGGGTCCCCAGTCTCATCGGAGCCGCTAGCTCTTTCGACTTTCTGCAGGCCCCCCCAGAGCCGCCCTGTCCCTCTGGTTTCGGTCTCATCGTGGAGAGCTGTAATGCCACTTGCTGGAACTCGTTCAAAGAGTGGCTCAGTAACACGACGGCGCACATTATTTGTCTGCAAGAGCACCACATCGTCAAGCCCACTGCACTGAGGGAGGCAACGTCATGGTGCAGCCGTCATGGATGGAAGGCGATACTTACCCCTGCTATTGCTGGTCAAGGTGAGGGCTCGTCTGGGGGAGTCGGCATCCTGGCGCGGGAGTTCCTGGGGCTGCATGAGCCTCTGTGGGGCTCCTCGCTTTCGGCTGGCCGTCTCATCAACGCCTTGGTTTATCTTCCTGGGGATGTGCCGTTTTTGGTCCTGTCGGCGTACTTACACGATAGTGAAGGTTTGTCAAGCAGGAACCTCGACCTACTCAGTACCGCGGGGGCTACTGTGAAGATGTCGGGGCACCAGGCCATTCTTGGAGGCGACTGGAACATGTCTCCTGAAGCCCTTCTTGAGTCGGGTTTCCCTGAGAAGTTGGAGGGGTCTCTGATCAAACCTGCTGGCTCTGGGACCTGCAGATCGTTGGGAGGTCTGAACTTCCTGGATTATTTTGTGTGCACTGGGGGCATTGCGAAGGGCATTCAGTCGACGAGCATAGTGCAGGTGGCGCAGCTGACACCGCACAAGCCCGTCCATCTGCAACTTTTTCCTCGGCTTGCTCAGCTGTGCGCGCTCACGTTCCGTAAGCCACCGCCCATTCCCAGAGAGAGGCCGATTGGGGTCGGCCGCTCACCGCCAGACTGGGGCGAGGTGCAGGACGCTGCTGAGGGGTGTTTAGGTACGGCGCTCTCGGGCCAGATCTCGGAGGCTCAGGAGAGGCTTGATTGGGTCTATGGGCGTTGGGCGGATTTGGCCGAGAGGGAGCTTTGCGACTTGGCCCAGATCACGCTGCCCTACTATGGTGCCCGTAGTAAGTCACCGCAACTGCATTGGGTTCCCATCATCAAGGACAAGGCCCCCCCGTTCAGGCACCCCAAGTTGTTCGCGGGAAAGTGGGTGTATCACAGGTTCCAGGACCTGATCATCGAGTTTAGGGAAGGAGCTCTGGAGGCCTCGAAGACCAGGGAGTCCCTGTTGAAGCCCCCGTCCTTCGTGCTTATCGTCGGCTGCGTTGAGTGGGACCAGTATCTCAGCACGATTCAGTCCTTAGCTCGAGCCGTCCCCGTCGGCAAGATCACCAGCGGGGAGCGCCAGCAGTTGGGCAAGTCCGAGTGGCTGGAGGCTGCTCAAGATGCTTTGGTTTTAGTGCAGCAGTATGTGACCAAGCTTCAAGGAGAAGCTCGTCTTGACGGCGAGATGGGGTGGAAAAACTGGCTGCTCACAAAAATCAAAGAGGGGGGAAAGAATGCCCACCTGGCCTCCAAGGAGGCCCATGGTTGGAAAGCTACCACGACCTTATCGGCCGGGGGTTTGGTGCTTTCGGACCCTTTAAGTTTGCTCAAGAGCGAGGCCTCTGGCTGGGCCGAGCTGTGGCACGCGGGCTCTGAGGCGCCCGACTGTCTGTTTGAAGGGGTATGTCAGCCCCTCCCCATGGTTTCGATCGACCAGATTAGGTCGACATCTGCCGCTTTCAAGGCCACCACGGCACAGGCGGTGGATGGGTTTCACATGAGGCACTACTCGTGGCTGTCGGACTCGGCGCAAGCGGTGGTGAGCCTCCTGTTTGCGATCTTCGAATCGCTCTCCAGCCTGCCGCGCCAGCTCCAGATTATTCAGGTGGTGCTTCTCTCTAAAGCGTCGGGGGGATATCGGCCCATTGGGTTGTTTGTTTCCCTTTACAGACTTTGGGGGAAATGCAGAAGGGAGCTGGCGGCGGAGTGGGAAGCGAGGAATGCTAGGATATTCTTTGCTGGCAGTTCTTTCGCTTGCGCGGCCGACACGGTGTGGCGGCAAGCGGCCCGAGCCGAGCTCAGCACCAGGAAAGGGGAAGTCTCGGCTATGCTTTTGTGGGATATGACTAAGTTTTATGAAAACTTTTCTCACGAAAGACTTGTGGCTGAGGCTCGTAAGTTCGGTTTCCCCACGGCCATCACCCAGTTGTGCGTCTCTGCCTACAGGTACGGGAGGTTTGTGAGCATGGCCTCGGCGGTCGCTGGGCCTTTTTTCGCGCGTCGTGGAGTGGTGGCTGGTTGCTCTATGGCCACTTCCCTGGTTCGGGTTTATCTCCTGGGTCCTTTGAGCAATCTGAACCTTCCTCGGGGAGTTTTCCTGGCTCAGTTTATCGACGACTCGGGTCTGGACTCCACGGGTTCGGCCCTGGATGTTTCTTGGGGTATAAAAGAAGGTTCTCGGCAGTTGGAGCAGGCTCTGGTCCACGAGTGCGGCTGCTCCATTTCTTTGTCCAAGGCGGGCCAAGGCAACCTCGTTTGCTCGGACGGGGCCGTCGCCAGGGAGCTGCAGATTTTCCTAGGCGACCGCACGGGCCCGCTGGCCGACAGCATTGTGGACTTAGGCATAGATTTCACGGCTGGCAGGTCTCGAAGGAAGGCCTACATCCGACGGGCCCTCCGCGAGTCCAAGTTCAAGATCCGCATGGCCAACTTGAAGGCCAAGTCACGGAAGGTGAGGATGATGAAAAAACAGATCACCTCCCACGCCAAGAGAATCTGGGTCTCTGGTCCGCTCCCTGGGGTGCTGTATGGGTCGGAAGTCCACGGGATTTCGGATGGGGAGCTCCACCGTATTCGGCAGCAGGCCGGCTCCGTGATGGGGCCTAGCTGTAAAGGTAGATCGCTCACAAGCCTGCTTATCTTAGAAGATGAGCCTACGTGGCTCGCGGCGGTGGCGCCCCTTGTCAGGTACTCGAAGGAGCTGTGGTGTGCCCACTCAGGTGCATACCGCTGGTGTTTCAGTTTCACGGAGCTGCGCGAGGCGTGGAGTATCTTCTTCGCCAAGCCCCCGCCAGCGACGTGGAGGGATGTCACGGGGCCTTTCTCCGCGTTGTACGTGTGTCTTAAGAGGATCCAGTGGAAGATGATTGACTGGGTCTCCTGGGAGAACGATTTCGGGGAGAAGTTAATTTTGACGGAGGTTAGTCCTGGGCTTCTGAAGATATTGTTGCGTCAAGCTGTCCTTCGGAGTTTGGAGCGAGTTGCTGCTCAAAAATCGGTCCTGGAGGTCCCTCGCTTGTGCTTCGATGTGCTCAAGAGGTCCCTGCACTCTAGCAAGTTCTCACCTGCTGGCAAGGCGGCGATCCGTCTGATAGGATGCGACGCCAGTTGGACCCGAGTTCGTGCGCGTTGCCTCGGTTATCAGTTGGAGTCGGTGGAGTGTCCTCTGTGCGGTCAAGGGCCAGACACGCTGCTCCACAGATTGTGGCGTTGCGAGGCATGTGCCGAAGAGCGTGCAGAGATTGTTTCAGACGAGTGCCAGAAGCTAGTGGACGACATGGACAGTGAAAACCCCCAAGACCTACTCCTACTTACCCGCGGTATCTTTCCTCACCCAGGGGACTATTGGCCGAGGCCAGACAAGGAGTGTAAGACCGTGTGGCAATGGGAGGAGGATGTCACGGAGGAGGACGGCATGGTGAGGGGGGAACTGTTCTTGGACGGCAGCTGCACCAGGTGTATCGTGCCAGAGCTTAACAGGGCGGCCTGGGGTCTTGCGATTTACGATCGGGCTTTCAGGTTCCTAGGAGAAGGGGGAGGAAAAGGGTGGGGGGAAGGGGGGGGTTTTTTCGGCACGGTTTAGCGGGGCTCCCCCCCAAACCTCTCAGGCTGGGGAGTTGCCGCCTTTTTTTTGTTTTTTTTTTATTTTTTTTTTTTTTTTTTTTTTTTTTCTTTTTTTTTTTTTTTTTTTTTTTTTTTTTTTTTTCTTTTTTTTTTTTTTTTTTTTTTTTTTTTTTTTTTTTTTTTTTTTTTTTTTTTTTTTTTGTTTGTTTTTTTTTTTTTTTTTGTTTCTTTTTTGTTTTTTTTTTTCTTTTTTTGTTTTTTTTTTTTTTTTTTTTTTTTTTTTTTTTTTTTTTTTTTGCTGTTCCCCAGCCAAGTAGTTAGAAGTGGACTGTGTATAGTACACGGGGACTGTGCCAAAACGTTCACTGTAAGCCAACCACCCCCCTGTCTTGGTAGTGGTGCACATATTTCCAGGCCTCCAACACTACCAGAGGCCCTATGCGGGGCTTTTGTTGCACAGTCAGAGAGTGTCACACCACATTAAATCGGTGAACAAAGTCAAGGCCCACTTGTCCCTCGAAGAAGAGAATGTGCCCGAGGGAGAGATGCAGCTTCGTAGAGGGAATTTCCAGGCTGATCAGGCAGCGAAAGCTGGGTTGCGTCTGCATGACGAGCCCACCGCCGAGCAGTCCCAGGCCCTCGACAATACGCTGCTCGTGGCCAAAACTGTGTGCAGACTGGCCGCGGCTCTCCTGTTCAAGTGGCCGAGGCTCGATTTGAAAGATGTGTTGTTTCAAGCCCCTGTGGGGCGGGCCCGAGACGGGCACTCGGCCCGCCCTTTGCACGTTTGGGAATTTGTGGCTGGCCGCTGGCGTTGCAATATATGTCTCAAGGCCTCTCGGTCTCAGCTCCGCCCCCCGCCCAGAGGATGCTCTGGCAAACGTGGGGACTGGGATTTTGGGGAGATGGAGAGGAATGGCCATTTCGTAGTCGGCCTGCCGTGTGACAACGGAGAATTGTTGCACATATGTACTCACTGCGCCTCTTTTGTCGGTCCTGGGTCTCTAAAGAAGTCCAACCTCCTTGGGAGGTGTGACCGCAAGATGTCGACACAAAAGAAGTGTCTTTGGCGCAGGTTGCTTCGAGGTCTTTACCCCAGCTACAGTTCGAGTCTGAGGGTCGACCCCGAAGGTATTCAAGACCTCACCGAGTGAGGCGGATTTAAATTGCGATTTAAATCTCTACAGTCCAGTCTCGCTGGTGGCAGTCTTGGATGTGGATGTTGAAAAAATCCTCCTCCTCCTCCTCCTCCTCCTCCTCCCCCTCCTCCTCCTCCTCCTCCTCCTCCTCCTCCTCCTCCTCCTCCTCTCCCCCTCCTCCCACGCCACCTGGGCCCAAGGGCTCTGGTACCTTTGCCAGCTTTTGCCCCTTGGCGCAGGTCCCGACGCTTAATGTGCCCGGCCAGGGCTGGGCCTGCGGCTTCAGGACGCGGAGCGCCGCGCAAGATCGGGTTGAACACATCGGCGTGCGGGCCACGGGCTGGCCGAGGCGCTCCTGCGCTGCGAGCGCCTGGGCGTCGGCGGAGTGGCAGCCGAGGCCCGGCAGGTGACGTTGCCAGAGTTTCCCATAGTCGCGCATGCGGAGTCTGCGATCACGCAGGCCGAGGTGGTGGAGGGCACGGCCGACCCGACGTGCACGGAGGCGGCCGTGCCCCCGTTGGTCGTGAAAGACTTGTTCGTCGGTGACGGCGGCGCTGAGGACCTCGGCTCCCCGTGCGCCGTAACGGGCGATCTTCGAGGGGAGGGTCACGAGGAGATCATTGCCGAGTTCTTCGGGGGGATGCTGCACGCGGGCGACGAACTGGACGTGTGGTGCCGCGATTCCGACCTGCAGCGAAGGCCGAGTCTGTCGTGGAGGAAGGCGGGTTCGTGGAGGAGGCCGTTTCAGTGAATAACTTGCCCGCGGTCCCGCTTTTCCCCGGTCTACATAGAGGGGTTCATGCAGGAGTCCGCGAAGGACGCCACGGCTGAGGCCAACTTGGCAGGGCTCGTGGACGGGCTCGTCTCGCAGGACTCTGCCGAGTTCGAGGCGGATTCGGACAACGCGACGGAGTCCATGGCCGAGCCCAACCTGGCGGGGCACCGAGGCCGATGTGAGCGGTGGCATCACCGAGCGCTGGGCGGACCACACCGATGCAGTGTCCCTGATGGTGGGGGAGCCCCTGGACCTCCAGATCGAGAGCCAGAGCATTCAGGAGGGGGCGCAGCGCTTCCACATCTACGGCGACTGCGTGCTGGAGACGCAGGGCCTCGTCGAGGACAAAGCGGAGGAGGGCTCGTACGACGTGTAGGGGCCCATGCATGAGTCCACGCCCGAGCTCTCCCTGCAGCATCCCACGGGTGGGCCCATTGACCCCATAGCTGGGGCCGACTCCACTTCTGGGTTTGGGCACAGGGTCGCGGCGCACGCGTTCCCAGGGCCCGACGGCTTCGAAATGGCGTCGACGCGCAGGTCGACAAGGGAAAGGGAGGCCACGCACGACAAGGATGAGGCACAGATCATCGTGAAGCGCGTGCTGGAGTTGCGGCAAGGTGGGCGTGAGATCCAGCTGATGCTTGCAGAATGGCGCGGACTGCCGATGAATGTCCCGATGCGCCGCTGGGAGCGCGCGCGGGTCATGAAGCAGGGGCTGGCGATGAAGACCCTTATTGTAGTGGCCTTCGGCCAGTGCCGCCGATCCGGGTCGCTCGGTGTTATTCTCCAGACGCAGACATTATGGGCGCACACTCAAACGCACACACACACACACAATGACTGTGGGGACGGGAAATAATAATGACATGAAAATTCCAGACAGGATGCCGATCACTTTGGAAACTCACGATACGTCTTGCACGGAGTCTTGTTACGAAACATGTGGCTTGGACGATGTGGTGCGAGCGGTGGAGGCGAGCCTATCGGCGCAAGGACGCCCTCTTGGGGCGTTTCTTGAGCCATCTTAGGAGCCTGTCAGGGCGTCGTGGGGGCTTCTTGGGGGCTTTTAGGGGGCCCTCTTGGGGGGTCTTGGGGCCTCCTGGGGGCCTCGTGGGCTGGAAAGCTAGA